ACAACTGTCATGTCACAGGAGCTCATTCATGTGAATGAACGGATGTGGATGAATGAATGGACAATATGAACAACACCACTGTTAAAAAAAAAAAAAGAGAGAGAGAGAGAGAGACAACAGGGGCACCCATGTGGCTCAGTTGGTTGAATGTCTGCCTCTTGATTTTGGTTCAGGTCATAATCCCAGGATCCTGGGATGGAGCTGTGTGTGGCTCCAGGCTGAGTGTGCAGCCTGCTTAAGATTCTCTCTCTCTCTCTCTCTCTCTCTCTCTCTCTCTCTCCTTCTCCCCCACTTGTGCTCTCTCTCAAAAAAAAAAAAAAAAAAAAAAAAGGAAAGAAAAGAAAAAAGACAACAGGCCCCCCAAATGCCAAAAATGGAGTTACTTGTGCTAAGTCCGGTGTCAGTAAACCAAGACTTAATACCTAACTTAATGGCTGTTTCAGTGTCTCCCAGGGATGTGAACTTTAACCAGTCAATCTGGAATTACCTGTTCAGCCCTAGTAAGATAATCCACCTGATAGACCCCTTGTGTCCTCCATAGGAAGGTAACCTTGTCTGGAAATAATCCACTCTTTGCTAGCAACTTCCTTGTCCTGCTCCCTTCTGCCTATTAAAGCCATTTTATTTATTTGTTTTTTACTTTTTTTTTAATCTTTATTTATTTTTGAGAGAGAGAGAGAGAGAGCACGAGCCAGAGTGTGAGCAGGGGAAACACAGAATCTAAAGCAGGCTCCAGGCTCTGAGCTGTCAGCACAGAGCCTGACACGGGGTTCAAACTCATGAACCGTGAGTTCATGACCTGAGCCAAAGTCGGTGCTTAAATGACTGAGCCTCCCAGGCGCCCCCTATAAAATCCATTGATATGATATGATATGATATGATATGATATGATATGGTATGATTACTATATTTTGGAGAGAGGAAGTGGGGGAGAGGGGCAGAAAGAGAGGGAGAGAGAGAGCCTGGCACTGGGCTCAGTCCCACGACCCTGGGATCGTGACCTGAGCTGAAACTGAGAGTTGGATGACCAACTGACTGAGCCATCCGGGCGCTCCAAAAGCCTTTCATTTTGTACAGGGTCTTTGGAGCTCCTTTCTACCTGCTAGACAGGACGCTGCCCAGTTCATGAAGTGCTGAATAAAGCCAATACAACCTTTAAATTTTACTCAGGTGAATGTCAAGACCGCCAACAGGTTTCTTGCCTGTGCGTCAGGCACCATTTTAAGCATTCAATCTGCACAAATTTCTTTAATCCTCATAACTACTAGGAGTGGGTGCTGTTATTATCCCCATTGGTAGATGAAGAAACTGAGGCTGGGAACTTGAGTGGCTTGCCCAGGCAATGAGCCAGTCGACTTCCGCAAACAGGCAGAAACCTTTACCCTCCAGGAATGATTACCCTCCAGTAATGATGCCTCCGGTTCCTTTTTAATGCCTTTTTATTTTATTTAAAAAAAAATTTTTTTTTCAACGTTTATTTATTTTTGGGACAGAGAGAGACAGAGCATGAATGGGGGAGGGGCAGAGAGAGAGGGAGACACAGAATCGGAAACAGGCTCCAGGCTCTGAGCCATCAGCCCAGAGCCCGACGCGGGGCTCGAACTCACGGACCGCGAGATCACGAGATCCCGCGAGATCGCGAGATCGTGACCTGGCTGAAGTCGGACGCTCAACCAACTGCGCCACCCAGGCGCCCCTTTAATGCCTTTTTAATCATTTCTCCTTGCCCCATCTTTTGGATCTCCAATTTTCTTAGGGATTAACTGAAGCAACCTGGGAGAATATTTCATAAAGGTAAATAGTATTCTGGGGTGCGTGGGTGGCTCCATTGGTTAAGCACCTGACTCCTGACTTCAGCTCAGGTCATGATCTCACCGTTTGTGAGTTCGAGCCCCATGTCGGGCTCTGCGCTGAGGGTGTGGAGCCTGCTTGGGATTCTCTCTCTCTCTTCTCTCTGCCCCCCGACTTCTCAAAATAAATAAATAAATAAACTTAAAAAAGTATTAAATAGTATTCTGACATCTTCCAAATTCGTGTCGTCTGGACCCTGCCTGTTATTATCCATAGATTTGTTTTACAAAGTTAAAACCAGAGTAGCATAGCGTGCTCTTTCATCGGGAGGGGGTCTGGGGAGTTGTCTACCCTGCATGATAACTTAGGTGGAGACGAATGCTGTGTGCCCCCTTCCCCCAGTGCAGGCTTGAAAAGGTGGGCTTGGCCACCTGGGAGTGCAAAGAGTCTACCTGATGGGAGGAAGGGGCAGTGCGCAGAGTCAGGGACTGTTTGGGGGAATGGCTAAATTTAGGGTTCCTGGGGAGAGGAAACAGTAGAAGAGAAAGACGGTGAGGAAAGTGAAGGCCAGGAAATGTTATAGGCTAATTCAGACTCGACTGTATCAGGCGTGGGGAGCTAGTGCAGGTATCTGGCTGTGGGGTAAAGCTCTCGGGGCTGTGCTTCAGGGTGGCATGGTGGGAGCAGTGGTCAGGTGACTGGGAAGGGGCGGGAACAGACTGCTGGCAGGGAAATCAGTTTAGAAATGACCATAAAGAGCTCTGCTATCAACACCCTCCCCTCCCCCCACCCCTTACCCTGCCTTCTCCTCTTTTCGGATTTCTAATAATGGCATTCCTATTCTTCTAGCCCCAGGGACCCAGGGATGGAAGTCTGAGTCACTCTGACTCCTCTCCCTGCCCAAGTCCTGCCAGCTGCAATTTCTGCTGATTCTATCTCTACCCGGTCTCTGGAATCTTAAGGGTCCTGCCAGGACGTTATGTCAGGCCTGCACCCGGTTCAGGGACTCTTGGCCTCCCTTGCCCAGTCCTGATCCTCTATCCCCCAACACCCCCTCACGGCTACTGTCAGACTTTACGCCCTGCCTGCAAACATACCAGGAAACTAATGCTCAGGTGGGTGAAGTACAAGCCCCTCACCTCTCCCAGCCTTCTTGTCCAGCCTTCTCCCAGATCTTAAATATCTTTTTTTATTAAAAAATTTTTTTAATGTTTTATTTATTTTTGACAGAGAGAGAGGGACAGAGACAGAGACAGAGCATGAGCGGGGGACCGGCAGAGAGAGGGAGACACAGAATCCGAAGCGGGCTCCAGGCTCTGAGCTGTCAGCACAGAGCCCGACGCGGGGCTCGAACTCACGGACCGCGAGATCGTGACCTGAGCTGAAGTCGGCCGCTTAACCGACTGAGCCACCCAGGTGTTCCTAGATCTTAAATACCCTTAAGGGCCAGCTTGCTGGATGCTCTGACCCTACGCTCACCAGGCTCTCCCTCATCAGAAATAGTTTTGGCTTTGAGAGATGCCTCACTGTCATCTAAGCTCTTCTTGGGACACTTGCCTCTTGTGCCTGGTTTGTGGTGATTGCACACATGTGTGTCTGGCTCCCAAAGGGATTGAGTGATGAGCATTTTTGTGCCCCCCACAGAAAACTTGCGTATGACCTAGTCTCAATAACTAATTGCAGTTTGATTAAAAATATGGAAGGGTATGGGGTGCCTGGGTGGCTCAGTCAGTTGAGCATCTAACTCCTGATTTCCGCTCGGATCATGATCCCAGGGTCTTGGGATTGAGTCTCAAGTTGGGCTCCATGCTAAACGTGGAGCCTTCTTGGGATTCTCTTTCTCCCTCTGCCCACCCCTCTCTAAAATCCAATTTAAAAAAAATTAAAAAAAAACATGGAAGGGTGGAGTTTCACTTCTGCTGACCCCAAACTGGAGGATCTGAGCATTTTTCCTTTAAACACTATCTTTCTATGAAGTGTAGTTAATAGGGATTCTGTTTTCTCCTTTTTTCTTAAAAGAGCAATAGACTAGGAGCCACATACATGGGTAGGAACTAGAGTTCTGCTACTTCCTGGCTCTGTGACTTTGAGTAAGTGTCCTAACCTCTCTGAGCCAAAGGAGTTGCCACCAGCTGCCTCGCCAAACGGGCACTGTATGGAGAAGGCTGGCATGGAGCTGGAGCCCTGGGAGGCAGGGAGTAAGAAGCAGTTTAATCTCGAGACTTTGCCTCAACTGCCCTGGGCTGCTACTGTGTTTGCGAAAAACACATGTGCCCCCACCCTGATCCCTGTGCAGGTGAGGGCTGGACTCTGGAACACACCGAGGCTTCCGTGCTGCCTCTCACTGGGGCCTCTGACACCCTGGTCTACCATGTAAAGGAACAGATGAGCCCCTGGGGACAGGCAGCAAATTCTTCCTGACCTTTTCAGAAGTGGTAGTCTGGGTAGTTGACATACATTAACTGAATCTCATTGTTTGGGCCAGAAGGATTCTCAGGGGGTCCATTCTCCCCGTTGACAGCTTTGGACACTGAGGCCCAGGTGCCTGATAAGAGCAGGATGGCATAAATCCAAATACCAGAGGCCTCCAAGGTCTTTGATGGTGTTTTGAGCAAGAGAATTGGGAACGGAGTGAAAGGGATTAGGAGTCATTCTGGGACACGCTGGCCCAAGATCAGGCCTCTGACTGAGACCTCAGACTTTGAGGGGGTCCAAAAGCAACCTCCCCTTGGACCCAGTCTGCTGGATCTCAGGGCCAAAGCAGTAGCTCTGTCTGGCTGGGACAGGGAGAAGAAGCACTAAAGTCGGTAATTCAAGGTCGCTTTCCTGGCCCAGCCCCATCTGGCAATGTTGACTGTTGAGGCAATGTTAGGGGAGAGCTGGGGACACAGGGCAGAACGTTGGTTGCTAACGTTCGGAGTGAGATGGTGTGACCCGGACAGTGGGGGCTGGGGTCAGATTTTTCTAAATAAAACCCAGCCCGGGCTGGTGTCCCATTTCAAGAACATGGGTGAGGAGAGTTTAGTCGCTGATGACAGAACCAATCAGTATGGTCTTGTGCGTGTAAACAGACAAACATGGACCTGTTTGCCAGGGTGGGGGCTGAGCTCGCTCATTCAGTCCAGGCTGCACGAGGACTCATCTGGATCGTGATAAGCCATCAACTACAACCGCTGAGCACAGGGTGTGCTCGGAGCCTTTTTACTTACGTTATTGCACCCACGTCTCCTGGGAGCCCTGTGGCTGTTACAATTGCCATTTCGGACGGGGGGGGAAGAACAGACTCTGGCTATGCCGGATGACTTCGAGGATTAGCCGCTTGACCTTCTGGGGAGAAGCAGAGGAGAGAGTTCGGCTCTTGACTCCGGACAGTCTACGCAACCCGTGGAGGGGACAGGAGTATCTGAGAGCGCACCTGAAAAGAGCCGACGTGCCCGTGGTCTCAGTTCAGGAAGACGGAACCCGCGCTTGGTTAAGGCGAAGGAGTTTCCGCCCAGCAAACGCCAAGGGCGCGGGAGTTTGCTCACTTTGGGGGGATTAAGCTGATTCGTCAGCAACTGACACCCTGGCTTAAATAGGGCGTCCTGGAGAGAGGGGCTCGGCCTCGCTACCTGCTGCCCTGAGCCCCCAGCTCCGGCCCCCGCTCGCGGGCCGGTGCGCGTCTCCCCCGCCTCTCCCCGGCAGTTCAGCGGGGCTGCGCGCGGCGCCAATGGCAGCGCGGGCTGCGCGCTGGGGCGGGGTCGGGCCTGCGCGGGGGCCTCCCGAGGGGTCCGGCTCGGCCCCGGCCCCTCCTCCTCCCCGGCGAGGCCCAATCGGGTGGCGGCCCCCGGCAGCCCCGCCCCGCCCCTGCCCGCGCCCGGGCGCCTGGAGGGCCTTGGCAGCCCGCCGCCAGGCAGCCGGGAGCAGCACCGGCGCTCGGATCTCGCCCGCCGCGGTCGGTTCGCTCGCCTGCTCGGCGGGATGGCTGGCTACCTGCGGGTCGTACGCTCGCTCTGCAGGGCCTCCGGCTCCGGGCCGGCCTGGGCGCCGGCAGCCCCGACAGGCCCCAACTTGCAGGAGCAGCCGCGGCGCCACTGTGAGTGCCACGAGGAGGGTCCGGGCGGGGCGCGCGCCCGGCACCGCGACGTGGCGGCCTCCCGGGCGGGGACCGGGGAGCGCGACTCGGGGCGATCGCGGGCCGGGGACGACGGGGTTGGCACACAAAGAGCCGGGGGGGGGGGGGCGGGGACGTTAAGGACGGTGGGAGGGGGTCGCGGGGGCGGTGGCGGGGGGGCCCCCCGGGGGGGGGGGTTGTGGGGGGCTCCCCCCCCCCCCCCCCCCCCCCCCAGCTATTCCCGTGGCGGGTGCTGGGGGTGTCCCGGGCTCGGAGGGTGTCCTGCGCTCCCTGCGCCCCGGGAGGGGCCAGGCCAGCGAGTAGGGGGCTGGAGCGCCAGGCCCGGTCTCCCCGTGAGAGGGAGGGTCTCGGCGCGGTCCCTGCTCAGACAAAGGCGGGGAGACGGCCTCCACTTCCCTTTCCTTTTCAGCCGGGCGCGCTGTAATCCCTCCTCGCTGTCAGGCCCGCGTCAGCTATTTTTGGAGCCTTTTACGCGACAGCTGGAGGAGCGTGCTTTTGATTTTCCTTTTTGTTTGGACACCCCCCACCCCTCCCGTCGCACTTAAGTCTCCATCCTGGAGCCTCTCCTTGGCCTGACCTGCGTTTTCTCGCCAGCCGGTTCCTACGCTGCTCCGCCGGCCCCACTCACCCGACTGCCAGACTGGGTGATTGGGCAGCTGCTCCAAAATGTCATTTTCCCCACTAGTTACTCCCTGCTTCTGTGGTGCCCTTAGTACCCAGCTTAGGAAAGAAGACAGTAGTCGGGTCATAATAAGCAGGATTAACCTGAACCCCCATTACCCTCGCAGGCTGCCCTCTGTGGCATGTGGCCTGGACTGTGGCTCTCCATTGCCAGCTACAAAAAGCAGGGAGAATGTAGGTCCCTTGGCCCTGTCTCTTGCCTGTTGCCACGGAAACCCCTTTCCTGACCTGGCCTGGAACCCCTTGGAGTGAGCCAGGACAGTGAGGAAGAGGGAGTGGGGCCCAGGCAGCCTGGCCTTACTGTTCCGGTAGGTAATCTTTAACTAGTGTGGGAGCAGCTGACCAGAATTGGGGAGGGGAAGGTGGGGGCAGAGCTTGGGCCCCAGCCCCCACCCCTCCTGCCAAGGAGAAAGGGACATTTCTGCTTTTGTACTTCTGGGATTTGTCTTGTAAGTGGTTAGCCCTGCAACTCCAGGGTTCCAAGTGCCCCCAGGCCCCAAACCACCTCTAGCAAAACAGCGTGAGAGTAAAGATATTTTCTCCCTTCTTGCCCCCTGCATTGATGGTAAAAAAAAAAAAAAAAGAAAGTTCTTTTAGCTGTAGGTCCTTCCAGAAGTTCCCAAGCTGGTTGGGTTATTAATGGGGAGAAGGCTTAGTGTTTGAGTTGGACATGAGACTTACAGCTGTGGCCTCTTCGAGCTTGTCACCCAGCAACACCACCGGAGACAGAATATTTGGCATTCCCCTTGATGACAAGGAACGGATACGTTTCTTTTGGCTAAAACACTCTGGTGTCTTTGCTGCTCGGTAACGCCACGGCTCCTAGTTTTGCATTTCCTAGGCCTCCAGCGACGGCTGGTGGCGGTTCTGATGAGCCAGATGTCGTGGAGGGGAGGGTGGGCTGTGCCCAAGCCCTCACTGTGAGAATGACTTATCTGGCCTTCCTTAGCTTCACTCCTTGCCTGGCAACTTCTTACTTTTCTCACGCTGCCTCTTCACTTTACAGATCTTGGTGACTTGCCTGCACTCTCAGATTCAAGGGCAGATTATTATTTAATGATTGTTGAAAGTTCTGGAGGCCCGCCTGGGGAGTTATTATGTGTTCCTCCCCAGGCTTGTTTCAACTGCATCAGATAAGAACAGGGCTGCCCCATCAGAGGTGTTTTGGGTGGTCATGTTTAGGCCTGGAACGTTTGGAGAAGTCTCTGGAAAGCCTGGGACCCGCCCCCAGGTGCTCCAGTTGAGCTGGGAGCCTCTGGCACTGGTTCCGTTCAGGGCATGAGGTGCTGGAAACTGCCTTCTGGTTATTGGAAGCCGGGCTCTGTGACCTGCCCTGGAGTTGACACTTGTGTACACGTTTAAAATGCCAGTGGAGGGGCGCCTGTGTGGCTCAGTCGGTTAAGCATCTGACTCTTGATCGTGGCTCAGGTCATGATCTCACGGTTCGTGGGATCGAGCCCCGTATCAGGCTCTGCACTGACAACTCGGAGCCTGGAGCCTGCTTCGGATTCTGTGTCTCCCTCTCTCTCAGCTCCCTGCCCCCCGCCCCTCGCTCACTCTCAAAAATAAACATTAAGGGGCGCCTGGGTGGCGCAGTCGGTTAAGCGTCCGACTTCAGCCAGGTCACGATCTCGCGGTCCGTGAGTTCGAGCCCCGCGTCGGGCCCTGGGCTGATGGCTCAGAGCCTGGAGCCTGTTTCCATTTCTGTGTCTCCCTCTCTCTCTGCCCCTCGCCCATTCATGCTCTGTCTCTCTCTGTCCCAAAAATAAATAAACATTGAAAAAAAAAAATTAAAAAAAAAATAAACATTAAAAAAAAAACACAAGTTTTTTTTCTCAGGGCGAGTTGCCCATTGCCTGGCAGAGACCCCTGTCCCATATATACATCTGTGCTGGTCTGGTGCAATCTGATGGTAAGAACTCAGTGGCCTCTATGTGGCAGTGCATCCCAGGAGCACATTTCATCCCAACAGGAGGTGGGGGCAGGGCAGCCCTTACTATAGACCAAATAGACTGTAACTTGACATTCATCTGTGACTTCAACAACTATCGTGCTTCTGCTGTGTGCCAGGCACGTGAAGGTGCTGGGGACAGAGCCAGGAGTAAGAGGCAAAGATTTCTGCCCGTGTGGAGCTTAAATGCGAATGTGGGGACTGTTAGTAAAAAGGTAGAAGTTGGCTAGCATGGCGTTTGGAGAACAAAGAGGCCAGGAAGGTGTGCGTGGAGGTTTGGACTTGGGGGGGGGCAGGAAGCACAGAAAAGACCTCCTTGAAGAGTCACCGAAGGAACAAAGGAAACAGGCCATTTGGTTATGGCCAACAGGTGCCAAGGCCGTGATGAAGGAGTGTCTGATGGAGGAGAGGAATGTGTGATGGAGGAGTGCGTGATGGAGGAGTGTCTGAAGGCGGAGTGCCTGATGGAGGAGTGCCTGATGGAGGAGCGTCTGATGGAGGAGTGTCTGATAGAGGAGTG